GGGGGATTCATGCAACCTCTAATCAAGTCGTGGCATGGATAATAAGATGGCTGACTAGTCAGCGTGGCTTCACAACACTGCACCCGCTCGCTCGGCGGACTGTCTATTTTTAGTACGTCAATGGCGGGGACAGAAGTTCCCGTTGCTATGGAGACAGATGAAAAAAGATCAATACCCACGTTTTGTCGTGTGCGGCTTCTCGGGGCGGACACCCTGACCTTTGACTCGGATTCACAAAATATGAAATGCAACACTGAACGCTGGGATTAATATCAACAGCAGGGCAAAATAGAGAGATGGGAGTTGGGCCTTGTGGGGTGGTAACAGTTTGCATGAAAGTATTCACTGAGAGAGGGCAATACCGATATATTAAAACGGGCTTTCGTGAGAGTTGATGGGTTGGGTTATTTTAAGGGGTGGGAGGGGCGGGTCGGGGCGGGGCGACAAATGTTAAAGAGAATTTTTCGGACTTGATTTTCATATAGAAATTCTTGCCATCGTGACTGTTGAGAAACCAGGGGTATCGTGTGGGCACGTGGACCAGGAATGCCGTTTGTCCGATCACCCCCTCCCAGCTATTTTCGTGGTTTTCATGAAAATGATCAACATCTGTTTTCAGAAAAATTATGTTATTCTCAGCTTTTCTTTTCTATTTAACCCCAACTAAGTTGTTTCTATTAACTTTTTGTTTGCAAATGCAACTTCCTTATTATCCCGATGAAATCCCTGGTGTTGGATTGGTTTGGGGGGTAGGGGGGGTAGGACCTTCTAAGTCTTTTCCGCTTGTTCTTCCTACGATTTAATTTAATGTTGAAGCTTGGAGAGACAATGTGTTCACTGCTTTAGGGGGTAGTTTTTAACTTTCTGTGTGTAGTGGTGTATTATAACGGGGTACTCTGTTTACGGGTCGGGCTCCTCAGTATTTCACACTGAATGCACGAGTTTGATTTCCGCGACGTGAAGTGATGTTGAGTATGATAGTATCCCATGAGTCCTTCGTGTGATGTATTGGGATAGAAGTTGGACTGTTTGGTCATAATAATAATAAGGTTAGATAATCTCCTTGGAAAAACGAGATATTTTGAGAAAGGGGGAGAAGGGGCAAGGTAGTTTGCTGTTTATTCCTGTAATTTTAGATGACGCAATTGACAACACGGAGGGCTCTTCCTAACACAAAAGACTGAAAACAGGAATGAGACAGTTACCTGACTATGGCCTGGCCATAAGGCTACCGTCAGTTATAACGAGGCAATCGTGTCGACAGGTGTTTCCTTTCAACTTTATTCCAATGCCATTTACATAGGATTATAATTACTCCGACCTAATAGGCTATAGGCCTAGTATCCTTTCATTTTGGACATAAAATGAAATATCAATGTTTTGTAATTTTAGTGCTCTAGCACCTTCAGCAGATTTGGACTTACACACAAAGGAAAATGTCCCAAATTACTTCCTTTTTGGGCTCTTTTTTTTGGTGGGGGGGGG